CTGGGTTCCGGGAAGGGCTCCAGACTGGGAACTCCCCAGGTGTGATATGGGGGCAGGTGCCTTGGGGCAGGGAAGCTTTGCTCTGATGCCAGCTCCCCGAGTCCCCTCAGAGCATCCAGTCTGTCCACAGCCCCAGGGAGGACCTTGGGCACCAGCCATGAGATGGTTCAGACTTACGGCCTTAGGACAGGTGATGCCTGACCAGGATCACCTCATCAAGGCCTCCTAAGAGATGGCGCTGACGTAGCCTGAGGCCACCTCAGGGCAGCTCCTGGCCTTGGCTGTCAGGGTGGCGAAGTGGAGACTTTCCACGGATCAGTCCCAGGGTTCCGGACGTCTCCTCCTGCTTTGGGCCTCAGGACTCAATGTAGTCATTAGGTCTTAGACTTGGGGATTGGGGCTGGCTGCGATTTTAGGGCTGGAGGGGCCCAAAAATCTGCCTTTTTCCTCCAACCTGTAAATGACAGTAAGGTAAGAGAAGGCTGGCCGGGGCACTGTTTTCCTGAGGCCCCACAAGTGTCGGCAGACAGGTGGGACCTAAGCCCCCCTCCCTGATTGCCAGCCTGCCCTCCAAGCCTCCAGCCGGCCCCCCTGGAGTAGACAGAGCATGGAGCCCGGGAGACCGGTAGATGGCATGGGCTGGGCTGGGCGGCCTCTCTGGGAATTCCCAGGCAGCTGCCCAGTCACCGGGATGGAATGTGTGGGCAAACCCCTGAGAGCAGGGCTGACACCCGCCCAGGTGCCCACGGGGGAGGGGAGAGGCCGACTTGGAGAATGGGTGGGAGTGTGCGCCTCCATTTCCGTCAGGGACCCAGGGTTCACTGAGAGTGGGGGGCAGGGCAGGTGGGCCGTCAGCCCTTCCTTTCTGAGAAGGGTGGTGACACAGGTGATTTCAGGATTGGAGACAGGGGAGCAGGCCCCAGAGCTCCCCCTCAGGAGGAGAGGAGTGAGCTCAGACGCCTGTGGGAAGGGCTCAGAGCACCTCCGCCCCCCAGCCCCACTGCCCATGGTGTCTCCCTGCCCCCACCCCCTCCAAGGGCTCAGACCAAACCCGAAGCCCCCTGCTCCCCGCTCCCACACTTCAGGGAGTGTGCACCTGTGCACGGCACTTGCTGACTGCTTCTGCAGTAAAGTAGGGGAGCCCAAGCAGGGGCATGTGAAGATTGCTTGCTTCTCGCCCTGCTCTGTGCCCCATGAACCTGTGGCCTGATGGCCAGGTGGGTCTGGGTATGAGGGTCACTGGCACTACCTACCCCTGACTTCCTGTACCCCTCTCCACAGGGACATCCCCCACGAGGTGGCCATGCGGCTGGCCTTCATTGGGGACGAGATGGAAGTGAGGTGGACGCTGCCCCGCATTGCCGAGCTGCCCTGGATGGCGGTGTACAGGTAACCAGCCCGCGGGAGGCCCTAGGGGGACATGGCTCCACTCCCAAATGGTGGGAACCCTCGCTCTCCCCGCCCCCAGGAGGCGCCAGCGCTTGGAGCTGGTCTGCTGCCACCTCGTTCTTCCTGCTTTGGCAGCAGAGCAGAACCTGAGCCCATTCCCTCTTTCCCGTGTCGAGCGAAAGGGTCTTGACTTAAAATGACAGGACATACTGAGCGAGCTCTGGCGGAGCTGTCTGTGTGTCCTTGGCAGAGTCCTCTGCACCAGGCATCTCTCCCAGTGACACTCGGTGTCCCCTCCTCACAGGAGGGGTCAAGGTGGCAGCATAGAAACCTTGCTCTTCGAGACCAGGACCAAAATCGATGTAGTCGCTTGCTCCCCAGGGCAGCAGCCTGCCTTTGGCGAGCCCAGGCCTCTGTCAAAGTAAAGCTCCTCTCGAGAGGACCTGCTCTCCTGGACCTGCTCTGTGGGCGTGTGGACAATGGCGTGTTTGCCACAGCCAGCTCCAGGACGCAACGCCAAACCACAGCGGCCTGGCAGGCGGGGGAGGAAGGAAACAGGAAATCAGATGGATTTAAGACCAGAAGCAGCCCATGGAGGGTGGTGGTCATTGACGGAACCACCCAGACAAGGGCGTGAGGGTGCCGTGCGTGAGGGTGGGGGGGGCAGGGAGATAGGCCCCTGTCCCACAGTAACGGCCCCGCCCCCTCCCATTTGTCTTACAGCTTGGCTTTCACCTACCAGACAGGCCTGAGGGGTGTTCTTAGGAGTTTTATGGATGCACTCACTAACCTCAGGGGAAACAGAAGGTTCTGGAGCTTCCTGACCCTCAGGGACAGGGTAAGCTGGGACAGGCCGGAGCTCTGGAGCAGCCGCTCCATGGGACATCTCTCCCAATGCCACAGTCCCTGCCACTCCCTGCGGTCCTGCCCGCTTCACCCATTTCTACTTCTGCCTAGTCCCAAAGGCCTTTGGGTTTGAGGCTCCTGCTTCGCTGGCTGGGTGCTCGGGTGCTCGGGTGCTCGGGTGCTCGGGGGTCTTGGCCGCTTCCCCTCCGCGCTCAGGCGTCTCCCTCTGCCGGGTGTGCCTTCGCCTGGCAGGCCTGTCTCCTTTCTCACTCATCCGCCCAGGGCAGGTGCCTTGGCCTCCTCCCCGCCTCTGCCGTGTCCTCAGGGCCACTTTCCTTTCCTGCTCCTCCTGCCCTCATCTTTCTGGTCTCCTTGTCCCAGACCCCTCCGGTTCTGAGCGAGGTGCTCCCGTGTCCCCACCTTACCTGACTTCCTCTTCTCCACCCCAGTCCTACGCACAGAGCGGGCACGGGAGGCGAGCTGTAGAATGAGCCAAGCACCTTCCAGGCTGGCGGTCCTCACCTCTCTCCATCTTTGTCCTACAGGTGTCCCCCACCCGGGGGCGCAAGCTGTCCTTGCTGCTGCTGCTGGTGCTGCTCCTGGACTGGGGCCTCCACCTCCTCCAGTGACGTGCTGCTGGCCAGTGCGGGGGTGGGGCTGGGCCCCTCCCCCTGGACCACCACCCTGGAGGTGGCCTTGTTGGTTTTGTTGTCTTTTTAACTGTTTTCTTATGACCCGTTTTTTTATATTTAAACTCTGAGTGCTGGGACACTCCTGAGGTTTCATACTTGTTTTTTCTTTTTTTTTTTTTTTTTTGTAAGAGATGAATTATACCTCTGGGGTCTTTATGGTTAACTGCTCTCCTGGCCCCAGCCCATTCTGCAGTGGCCTGTCCCCAGAAGGAGCCTTCCTCTTGTGGGTTGGCCATATTGTGGGCGGCGGGGGGAGTGCTGGTCACACCCCCGTCTGAGACTGTGATGCCCACGGCAAAGAGAAAATCTGCTGGAGTAGATTTCTGAGGGGTGAGCTCAATAAAATGTTGGTTTTCAGTGGTCTGTGGTCCTCTCTGGGGCTGGCAGTGTAGGCTCCATCTTGCCCCTTGGAGGGGCCCGTGGTGGAGGAGAGGCGGGGGCGGGCATGTTCCTAGCCACCTGTATCACAGCCTCCTGGCTTGTCCAGCACCGCAAGTGCTGGCCGCACAGCTCGAGTTTACCCCTCCCTGTTGTGCCTCGGTGCCTGAAAGCCACCAGTAGGGACTATTTCCTCTGGGCTGTCCGGGCCTCTTCTGACTGGGCCGCCTGCCTTTCCCACGCTTGCTCACCCAGCACTGTCTGCTGGCGTGGGGCAGCCTGTGGG